CGCACACCGCCGGCACGCTGGACCGCGGCATGCTGCAACACACACAACACTGTTAAACAGAACTCGGTACCAAATCACAACACTACATCATTGTACACGTCCCATCACTATGACATCTAAAAAAAAAATCACCATGACATCTGTCAATGTCAATAGGCAATATGCATATGACGCCAAATTTAACCACTCTTTTTAAGTACACTTTATTACTTTAAAAACATACCTGTAAAGATTTTTTTTAATATAATGTGATTTAGGGGCAAAATTTAATCATATAAAAGTGGCTTTTTTAAAATTCCCTCGCTAAGTTCTAATATGCAACGCTATTGGTCGAAGCAAGTGGCTTATCTAAAATGGGGTCGCTGTGTTGTCAATATACAGTTCATTTACGTTAGTTTATATAGAAATTCACTCTTGAAGTATTTTACTGTAAACTCGATAACAAAACTAACTTTAAATGAAAAAATAATTGAAAAGAGTTATTAATTACCACTTATTTGTACCAGGAATATTGTTATCAAATTCCTGAGTAGAATTAATAACAAATAAAGCCAGTATTATTGGACAGTTGGGACGCAAGTGACACTTATTGGCGCCTGTTAGCCTGGCAGAGTATGAGCCAGTGCCACTGGCCAACTGTACTGGGGAAGTAGAAACCGTGCATAAAGCCGACTACATACAGGAGGATATATTACCGTTCCTCGTTAGTGAGGTAGTCGACGACATGCTCGAGGCCGACGAGATACACGAAGTCGGTGTTGCTAGGCGACGGGATGAAGTTCATCTCCGGCGGCGGAGGCTTAGGTGGCGGGATCTGAAAAAAAAAGAAAGAAACCTCGTGTAAATTCTTAAAAAAATATATAGTGAGGTTAACACTTTTTTGAAATATTTATTTACAGAATCTCACTAACACTATCTCCTCCTCCATATGTTGATCCTCAAAACCAGATATAAAATTGTATTTAAATCAATTGCAAATTAGCTTTAAATAATCATACTAATATTACAAATGCGAAAATTTACGTTGATGGATGTTTGTTACAGTTTGTAGCCTAAACTGCTGAACGGATTTCGATGAAATTTGTCATAAAGAGAGTACTGGAGGAACACATTGGCTACTTGCTTTTGTATTTTAATAATGTAAACACAAATACACGAGATGTAACACAACTGACATATTACCTTTCAGAAAAAGTACCAGTGAAAAAAAAATCCCCTTCCTCTATTTTTTTTAATATCTCTGTACAGTTAACTGTGTTTAGTTAATAATAAGATTACCTGTAATAGGGTTTTCTCGAGTTGTTTTCGCAGCGCCAACTTGGCTGCAGCTTGTCGCTGAGCCGGCGTCTGCGTGTCATCGGAACTTCGGGAACTCGCCTGAAAAACAAATTCACAATATAGTTAATACCAAAAAAAACTAATATACTAATATTATAAAGAGGAAAGATATGCATTTTTGTATGTATTGGAATAACTCTAAAACAGGGCAGATTTCAAAAATTCCTTCACCATCAAAAAGCTACATTATTACTGAGTAACATAGGCTATATTTTTCATTATTTTATAATTTTACACAGGCGAAGTCGCGAACGACAGCTTGTTTATAACATAAAAAATGTAATAAATGACTTAGTTAAAATTCTTAAACATTGGCCTCCTTTGGTCTACATTGGTATCTATTTTTTTTACGTAAGAGAGGAATAACGACGTTTCTATATGGATGTTTTTAATAGAAATGGAGTAATGTATAGAAAATGACATCACTTCTCCATACTCACTGCATCACTCGTACTACTGGTGACTGACGAATTATCCTGTGCCGGCTTGTAATTAAATTTTAACAATCTTACTAATATAAATGTAAAAGTTTAGATAAATGGATATTAGAGTTTGGTAGCAAACTGCCGAATGGATTTTTATGAAATTTGGCATAATAGAGCATAATCTGAAAGAATACATAGCCTACTTAGTTTTGTACTTTTTCCCATGCAAAAGGAGTCGCGGGCGAAAGTAAGTTATTTATATAAATTCAATTTAGACATTTGCAATAGAAAATTGTACAAATGTAAACAATAAAATAACGTTATTACAATTCGATGCGGACTAAGCCGCACGGAAACAGCTTGGTCTGTATATATTCTAATACTATAAGAAGAAAAGATTTGTAGTTTCGTATGTATTGAAAAAACTCAAAAACTACTGGGCGGATTTAAAAAATCTTTCACCATTAAAAAGCTATGTTATCAGTGAGTAACATAGGGTATGTTTTATTACTATAATTAATCCGACGTGGATAAAATTGCAAAACTAGTAATAACCTTTGGCTGCGGGTGTTGCGTCGCTGGCGGCGGAGCTGGTGTTATCGTCACCGACGGCGTTATACTGGCGCCTCCACTTGATGAATTCTGGAATTATTACTTATTATATAATAATAATAATAAAGCCATTTATTTCCTTACAGATAAACACTGTTTACAATTGTGAATATATTATTTGAAAAAAAAAAATGTTCACAAATCGTAATATAACTCATATCGAATCATATAAAAACGAACGTTGAGACGGATGTTTGTTAATTTGTAGCCTAAACTGCTGAAAGGATCTCGATGAAATTTGTCATAGACGTAGAGAATAATCTAGAAGCACATAGGCTTTTTTTAATTTCACGCAGACGGAGTCACGGGCAAAGCTAGTTATAGTATAATTCATATCTTACTAATTTCATAAATACGATAGTTTAGATGGATGGATGTTTGTTAATTTGTAGCCTAAACTGCTGAAAGGATCTCGATGAAATTTGTCATAGAAGTAAAACTTAGTCTGGAAGAACGCATAGGCTTCTTATTTTTATTTTTAATACCACGCAGACAAAGTCGTGGGCGAGAACGTTTTCATTTTTTTTTAATTACGGGAGACAGGAAGGTCTCATTTCAAGTAAGCAGTTAATCTATAGTAATATTAAAACGAGGAAAGACTTGTATTTTTGTATGTATTGTAATAACTCAAAAACTACTGGATTGATTAAATATTCTTGCACCATTAAATGGGCTGTGTTTTTATTACATTTTTAATTTGAGTTGGGCGAAGTCGCAATCAGAGCTAACGTTTAGTAAGTGTGGCGAGTGTGGCAAGTGTGGCGAGTGTGGCAAATGTGGCGAGTGTGGCAAGTGTGGCAAATGTGGCGAGTGTACCTGCGTGCGGTAGACGCCGGGCGTGAGCGTGGCGCCGCCGGGCAGGCTGGAGGGGCGCCGCCCGCTCGATGACAGGCTGCTGCCAGCCGCCGCGCCAGTACTCGATCGCTGGAACATACATACAACACTATATAACAATTCTGCACCCCATATAACGTACTAGTAAATTTTAGAAAAGAAAGCCCTTATAAAAGGCATAGTTGACACTTCACTTCAAACATATATCACATAATCATCCTTATCAATTCATCACATCACCAGCTCACTATAAGTCCCCACCGAGGGGCTCGGAGCCTACCCTAAGTAAGGGGTGACTAGGCCATAGTCAACCACGTTGGCCCACTGTGGGTTGGTTGACTTCACACATATTTTTGAATTTCTTCGCCGACATGTGCAGGTTTCCTAACGATGTTTTCCTTCACCGTAAGAACGTCAGATAAATTATGTACATATGAAAATTCTAAAAATCGCAAATCACATTGGTACATGTCGGGATTCGAACCCAAGACCTGTAGATTACAAGTCAAGTGTTTAAACCACTGAGCCACCGACGCTCTTTCAATTCATAGATCCTCAATATAATGAATTGAATTTTAATTAATTACCAATAGTTGTCATTTATTTTTTTTGAAATGTTTATATTTTATTTATTAACAATTGCTGTTTATTTTACAACACAAGATGGAGCTTATTATAATTTATACAACGTTTAATAAAGGACATGAGGTAGCGCACTAAACTTGACAACATAGTACCTTTCAAAGAAGTTACCGGTGAAAAAAATATAAAAGAAAGTCGTGTTAGTTACACTATTAATAACTCGAGAACGGCTTAACCGATATGGCATAGAGCCAGGAGACGGACTATTTATTCCATTTATGGATGGATGTTTCTCTCTCTCGATGAAATTTGGCATAGATGTAGAGGATAGTCTGGAAGAACACATGGGCTTTTTACTTTCGTTTTTTTTAAGTCCAAGCGGACAGAGTCGCGTGCTATAGCTAGTAGATTTGTATTTTTGTATGTATTTGATTCGCGCATAAACTACTAGGCCGATTTCAAAAATTTTTTCACCGTTAGAAAGATAATTAATTATTTTTTTTTTTAATTCCCCGCGGCTGCAGTGGCGGGCAAAAGCTAGTAATTCATACGTGTTGTACCTTGTTGTGCTGGTGCGCGGGCGGCGGCGCGGGCGTGACGGTGACGCCGGGCGGCACCACGCAGCCGCTGCCCGCCAGCGCCGTGCCGCTGCTCGTCTCCTGCAGTACACAATATCACAAAACATTACTCACTTTTTATACCACTAACAATAAGGGTTAACTGATTTTCATTTTATGTAAAAATGGGACCACACAAGCACTACATTTTGGATAAAAAAAAATTATCCAAATCCACTAGCGGCGGAATTATGCCGTAACATGAACATGTCCATCTTCCTATTCGTCTTGTCCTAAAATCCGTCCCATCCCCTCCTTTCAAGGTGGAAAGGAAAAGGGACAAGAATTACACTTAGACTTTCCTTGCCACTTCATATCAGATTCCTTTTTCCCCGTTGGGCCTGTGTAAGCTAAGTTACCTTAGGGGCCGGTAAGCCAGTGGTCTGCTGCGACTGGCGCAGTTTCCGCAGCAGCACGAGGCGCGTCTCCTCCGAGCGCAGCTTCTCCCGCAGCGCCCGCAGCCGTCTCTCTCGCTCCCATATCTCCGCACTTGATAGCTCCTGAAATTACAATCATCATAATATTATAAATGGGAAAGTTTACATGGATGGATGTTTGTTAGAGTTTGTAGCCTAAACGGCTAAACGAATTTTTACGAAATTTGGTAACCGCAATTTTGACAAAAGGTTATCATTGCTTCCGTAATGTTGGCAGCTTGTAGTTTATGATCCCTTTCCTACATGAAGTATTTTTTCAAATTTATTTACCTCCTAAGTTTAATAGCGTGAAAATACATAGCCTAAAGCGTGTCGTAAGTGTAGTGGTTTTTATTATAGAAAGAATTATTCAAAAACATGCTATGATTGCTGACATCCTACGCCATGAAGTAGTGTGTGTTTACGCTTTATTATATTAATATAGATGATGAAGATGATGGGAAGATGATGGTATGATAT